ATTTATTAAGTGCCAGCCACTGTGCCAAAAGGTGAGAACTCAACAAGGAACGAGCCTGCACAGCCCCCGTCTTCAAGGTGCTTAAGGCTAACTCTAACTAAAATGCTATAATGGTCAAAGAGCATAAATATTTTTAAGGATATTTAAGCTTCTCAATATATTTTACCGCTTACCTTTGAAAAACATGTTATAGTCATTTATCAGTAACAGAATACCACACTACTTTTAGAACAAGTACTAGAAAGGAACTATAGAAGTACAAGAAAGCCTAATTTTAAGTGAACTAACTTACTTCATTCAATTAATATTTATTGGCATGACAATGTACAATAGGATAGAAATGGTTTTAAAAATTCCAACTTATCAACTGCATAAAATAATTACACATACTGTGACAGAATCGAGTCTTTGTTTCACTTGCTGCATCTTCATTGAAGAATCTTCAGTGTGGACATAGTCATCAATCTGAAAAGAGCCTTGTTGAGGCAGTTTAGGGCAGGTGCACAAAGCATCTTCACTTTGGTGTATTCCAGGGAATGGAAACGTTCCATTGTAACGTTTGAACATTTCAGCCTCCTGCTGGGCAACTAGGAAAATGAATCTGTAATTAGTTTAAATCATCACAGCAAAAGCATAATGAAATAATTAAGCCATGAAATTGCAGCATTAAACAAAGAAGAAAATGCACTGTACATTTCAAATACTGGGTGATAAGAAGACAATATGACTAGCAAAATGTGAAAATATTAAATACTATAAAACCATAAAGGAAATACAATAATTTCACAGATAATTTCATGGCAAGCAGGATTATAAGTGAACCTTAAAGGTCATGAAATATCTTGGTCTGGTAAACATAACAACTTAAATGGGAGCCAAACTTAAATTATATGTGTATAGAAAAATAAAAAAAGGCATAATGAATTAAAGAAAATGCAAAAACAGTAAAAATAATTATTCATATACCCGTCTCCCTAAAACAACTGTTTCCCTCCCCCCTCATCTTTAATTCCAGTCCCCGCCCCCTGACCTATGGATGCTGCTATTTCCTCTTAAAAACTGATCTCTGAAGGCGGGGCGTGCACCGCTTGCGGTGTGCACCAGGGGCCTAGTGCACCCGGGGAGCCTGGTGCACCCAAGGTATGGTCCGTGGCTCCACCTGGGGAGCAAACCCAAGACCTTCTGCGTGTAAAGCAGATGTGCTAACCACTATACTATGGAGCCACCCCTTAAAACAACTTTTTTCAATACTTCTATACCCCTCCTAATCTTTATACATATGTACATTTTATGTAAGATGCCATGGTGTAAATGTAGTTTAACATTTTTTCAATTTAATTACAAACATTTTTCATATTTCTACAAGTATGTAATTATCATTTTAAAAGCTTTACAATATCCCATCTAATGAAGTACCATAACTTACTTATGCATATTTACAATGTTTTCTGTTTTCTCTCCCTATACATCATGTGTGACTAAGTACTTTCATAATTTGATTTGCTTCTTAAATAATTCTTTCTTTGGATTTAATTCTCCAGAGTGGAACAGATAACTCAAAGGGTGAATGTTTTTGATGATGATGATGATGATGATGATGATGACAATACCATCTGTACTGGACCTCATGGTTTTTAAAATGCTTCAACATACACTATCTCATCTGATCATTTAAAATAAATAAACTTGAAAATTTTTAAATGCCTGTTTGTGTATACAAAGGAGAAAAAATATAAAATAACCATTTTTAAAAAGTATTTCCTTAATTATATAATTTTAAATGGAAGGCTTTTCTAAAACATGACATGAAAAGAAACCAATTTAAAAAAGATTCATAACATGGAATCAAAACAGCCTTCAGAGATTCTGTGAAGTTACATATAGAAATATAAGTGTGGGAATGTAAATGTTTTTAAAAATCAGATTTATAACTCATCAGATTAGTTATCAAAGGATTTTAAAAACTGAAGAACCTAAATAAAGAGAAATACTGTGTTCATGGTTGTAGTAGTCAATATTAAGATGTCAATTCTCCCCAAAGCATCTGTATTCAATGGAATCTCACTTGAAATTCCAGCAGGTTATCTTTGGAGTGATTGTCAAATTCTAAAAATCCACATGAAAATGCGAAGGACCCAGAAGAGCGAAAACAATTTTGAAAAGAACAAAGGGGACTTACACAACCTGACTGCAAGTCTTATTATAACGCTACAGTAATCAAGATATCTTGTTATTGGCATAAACAAATAGATGGAGAAAATGGAATAGAGAGCCCAGCATGTACAGACCAAGTATAAAGGCAATCTAGGAGAGAAAGAAGTCTTTTCAACAAACAGTGCTGGAACAATTGGGTATCCATATGTGAGAAAATCAACCAATTTCTTCTTTACGTGATGTTCACAAAAGTAACTCAAAATGAATGACAGATCTAAATGTAAAAACTAAAACCATAAAACTTCTCAAAGAAAACAAAGGAGAACATTATTGTGAGCTTGGATTAGGCAAAGATTTCTTAGATACAATACCAAAATCCATAAAAGAAAAAAACTGGTAATTTTGGACTTCATTAAAATTTCAAACATCTCTTCAAAACTGTTAAGACAATTAGAAGACAAGCTCAAGACTGGTGGAAATATTTGCAAATCAGTGTCACTTGTATATTGAAAACCTCACTCTCAAAAATCAATAATCATAAAACAAACAAACCAATTTTAAAAATGGGTAAAGATTTGAACAGACAATTCACTGAAGAAGATATATAGATGGCAAATAAGCATATGAAAAGGTTCTCAATATCATTAGTCATTAAAGATAAGCAAATTAAACCCACAATGAAATAAGACTGCATATCTGTTAGAATGGCTAAAATTAAAAAGACTGTCCATTTCAAATTTACCCAGAATATGGATATACTGAAATATTTGTAAACTGCTGAGGGGATGTTAAATGGCATGACCACTCTAGAAAACAGTCTGGCAGTTTTTTAAGAAATTCAATATACATCAGCAATACGATCGAGAATTTCTACCCTTAGCAGTTTATTCAAGAGAAATAAAAGTGTATGTCCAACAAAGAACTGCATGTGAATATTTATCAAAGCTTTATTTGTAATAGTTAAAAACTGGATACAACCCAAAATGCCCATCAACAGGTAAAAGGATAAACAAACTGTGATATATCCATACAATGAAACAATAGTCATAAATAAAAAGGATGAACTATTGATAAATTTTAAAACATAGATGAATCTCAAATTATGAGTGAAAGAAGACAGACAAAAAATAGTAAATGGTATATACTGTTTTACTTATATACAATTCTAGAAAATGTGAACCAATTCGCAGTGATAGCCTGGTGGAAGGAGTAGATAGGAAGAGATCAGAAAGTAACTTTTGGGGGTGACGTATATGTTATTCATTATCTTGATCGAGGTGATGATGGTGTCACGAGTATATAAATATGTCTAGGCTTAGCAGAGCATAAGTTTTAAATATACACAAAAGTTTGTAGTTCATTATATGTCAATTATACCTCAAAAAAGCTGCACACAAAAAAAGCAAATGAAAAACTAATGATAAATGGGTCTAATATACTTAATACACAGAGTCTCTATAAAATCAATTCAAAAATTAATAATCCAACGGAAAAATGGGCAAAGGACAATTACAAAAAATTCATAAAAGATCTGCATGGCTAATAAAAAAATATACTTAACCTCACTAATAATTTGAGAAAGAATTAGTAAGAAAAAATGTAAATTAGAAGGTGAAGCTTTAAATCTGTTTAACTGATCCATTGTACCTTAAAATATTTTTTCCTAAGGAATAAATTGAATAAGGGCAGGTATGTACTGAAGTATTTTTTAAAATATTGAAAAACATATAACAGAATTATTTAATAATAGTTATTTATATTAATTATGATATATTCATTTAATGAAAGGATATACAGCCACTAAAATTATATACAAGTATATAATTATTATAAGGAAAATTGCTCATAATATATTGGAAGAAAAATGTTTATAAAATAATATAATGAATATCTCAACCATGAATTTGAAATAGCACATATAAAAAACTTTAGGTCTTTGTATCTTTACATTCATGTACTACTTCATTCACACACTCCAAATGAAAACTAGCTCAATAATAACCAGTGCTTGCAGACCTCGGTGGTGGTTAAGTACCAGGGAACATTATTGAGGCAGAAGACCTGCTTATAATCACCTTTTCAGAGATGTACAATCCTTAACACCAACTACTGTTCTTAGATGGAAGTGTAGCTGTTTCTACACTTAGATTTCTGTGGGGTGACTACTAATTTTCAGTATACATTTTGGACTTCTTTTCCTAACACTCAGAACATTTATTTTATTCTCAAATATTCAATGATAGTTTAAAGAACAAGAGAAACTTTAAAGGTATAAAAGTGACGTAAAGATTTGAATTTGGAAGGTTTAACATTAGTCAATGAGTCAGGGAAGAATGAATCGACACATGTCCCATGATCTTTGCTTTGTTTGCTTTTCAAAAATTTCCTTTTAACATTTCACTGATTTTTGCTGCTATGAAAGTAAACCTGAGTTTAACTATTCAATGGCATTTTCTAGCTCTCTTTGTTTTTGCATTTGCCACATATATATTAGCCAACCACGATTTCACTTTAGGCTCTGAGTGAAATGAGCATGGCATAGAAACACATGTGATACATGCTATGCCGATATAAGCAACAGTTACACAGAACAGTGAGATTTTGGTATTCATCCTATTCTTTTTGCCAAATTGTATTTTCTAAGTACCATGTCATGCTAAGTGTAATTTATTTTTCTTTTTTTTACAAAGTAATTTTTAACTAGTAAAAAATAACAAAAAGCTTTGCCTAAATATTTGTTTCTTTATTTTTTCCAGTCATTAAGCTGAAATTATAAATACTTGTTTCTGTTGACTAAAGGGAATTTTCTATACAAAAGCCATGTGACTGGATTTCAAGGAGTCAAATTAACACCCTACTTTATTTTTAGCGCCTCTTGTTCTGTGAAAATAGCCATAGAAAAAAAATCTGTAGAAATATCCACAAAGACCTATTTTCTCAGAAAAAAAAGCTGCTTGCTTCTGTTCATTCTTTCCCCTCCCCTCCCTTCCACAAATATATGCATTCATTCATATAAAACCATACAGATTATGTCACTGTAAAACCGGCCATAATAAATGATTTCTGAAATTCCTTCGAGCTCTGTGTGTCTAACTTTTCAAAGGTTTCTAAAACATGTTTACATAGGCCATGGTCGGAGTATGATGTTGCAATTATATAACTGTATTGCTTCACTTTACCATTTTCTCTTCTTTGTGTAATTTAACTTTACATTTAAAACCTAGCTCTAATTTAACCCAATATGTTTAAAACTCACAATTTTAACACATCCCCACTTTTGAGGAGGGCATTCAAGTGGGCTCTGAGATTATAAAGATACTGACCACCTCCTGGGGTTTGAATTTTTGGAGATAAGAAATTTCTGCTATGTCTAAAGTGGCAAAGCAGAGAAGTGGACATGGTGTTGAAACCACAGAAGCTGAAACTACAGTTG